TTCTCAATATATTGCAGTTCTTTGTTCTCTAAGCAACCTATATTAAAACATGTACGAAATTCTCTGACTCCTAAAGTACTTTTATTGACTAAACACCCGAAGAAATTAGAGGAAAAGAAAAAGACTTGTTCTATTGAAAAGGATTAGTCATCCTGCTAGAAGACAAAATGCCTTATAGTAATATCTTGGGTTTACCAAATATTAAAAAAGCCCTTCAATTTCGTTATGAAAGCTGCTGCTATTTCTTTGGCACACTTAACAAACATGTATAATATTGAAAGCCTGTTTTTTTCAGTCATATCAGCTGTTCTGATACAAGATACTACTTCTGCCTAAGCCTTGACCTACCCACATTTTTTGACTCCCAGATCTACAGTAAGCCATCACCATGAACACAAGTCCAAACAGCAACTTCTCCAATTCCCTTTCAACAAGACAGCAATTTCCCAACCATAAATCAGAGCCTGATAAGGTATCTGTGTTGTAATAAAAAATACTAACCTTTAGAGGAAACAAGTTACTATTCGTATTGTATTTCCAGCATTGAGCTTAACTCTCAGTGCTGGAGCTGGAAATTTCCATGAACAGTATTGAAATAGCAACTGAATTAAAAAAAAAAACTTAACAGATGAAGTAATCTGCATTGAACTGCTCCATGGACAGTCTGAGCATATGCAACCAGACAAGGTTAGAGCAGCAAATCTACTACCAGGCAACTACAGACTCTAGATACACATTTTTTAGTAAGAAACCATAGCAAAGGCAGTGACAGCTCCAAAAGAAACCAAAGCCTTCTAGAGTCAGAAAACTGATAGAAAACAAAGTGTTTAATGTCCTAAAGACAATGAAATTTCTGTCAACAGCAATGGAAAAAGCTTTGAAATTCACTTAACATTTTATAAGGTACAGTTCTCATCAGCTCATCAGAACAACCAACTTTCAACAACTAAAAGTATTTTAGTTTCAATAGGCATACAGTGAGCAAAAAACAGCTTTCACAGCCAGTTTTTCAGCTAGGTCCTGCAGCCAGCCACCTCACTCTTTCCTAAACGCCTTTAAGAAAAAGATGGGCTTTGCAGCACAGTTCAAAAGTAATTAAATTTGAGCTATTTTGGAGTGCAAGGGAACAAACGCTAAAGCTCACCCTGCCAAAATGTCACTTCTATGCCACATACAAGCTCAAATACATTCACTGCTTTCAGCTGGGGCAATAAAACATACCAAGGTGGCTTTTAACAAACTGCAAGCTGACCCTAAAACCAAAGCAAAAACTTACTTTGTCAAAAATCTTGAAAAGATTTTACTCTTTAACAAGAGTATAAATGTCAGAATCCATAGTAACAAAAAAACTTCCAAATTGATTAGGAGTTCTTCCTGTGACCTGAGGCATCAAGCACTCAGCTGGCATTCCAGAGGCACCACATCTTTTCTAATCAAATCAAATTAAACACATTGATCTAAGCTGTTTAACCCTTTTGAGAAAGATTAAGACTAGAATTCAAAGTTGCAGTCTTCAGAAACATAATAATCATACAGACATTAGACTAAATAGCAGTCAAATTTAGTTTGGATAGATGACTCCAAACCAGAAGTATAATGGAATGGTTTGAGTTGGAAGGGATCTTAAAGATCATCTCCGTCCAACCCCCTGCTATGGGCAGGGACACCTTCCACTATCCCAGATTGCTCAGAGCCCCATCCAGCCTGGCCTTGGACACTGCCAGGGATGGGGCAGCCACAGCTTCTCTGGGAAACCTGTGCCAGGGCTTCAACACCCTCACAGGGAACAATTTCTTCCCAATATCCAATATATCCCTGCTCTGTGTCAGTGTGAAGCCACTGCCCCTTGTCCTGTCACTGCAGGCCCTTGTCAAGAGTCTCTCTCCATCTTTCCTGTGGCTCCCTTCAGGCACTGGAAGGCCACAGTGAGGTCACCCCAAAGCCTTCTCCTCTCCAGGCTGAACAATCCCAATTCCCTGAGCCTTTCCTCCCAGCAGAGCTGCTCCATCCCTCTGATCCCTTGGTGTCCCTGCTCTGTCGTGGCTCCAGCAGCTCCCTGTCCTTGCTGTGCTGGCCCAGGGCTGGGTGCAGCCCTGCAGGGGGGTCTCAGCAGAGCGGGGCAGAGGGGCAGAATCCCCCCTCCCCTGCTGCCCTGGGGCTCTGGGTGCAGCCCAGCACAGGGGGGTTCTGGGCTGGGGCAGGGCCAGCTCTCACCCACAGCACCCCCAAGCCCTTCTGCCAGGACTGCTCCCTCTGCTCATCCCCAGCCTGGATCCATCCCACACAGGGATGTGCCCAACACAGGGGCAGCACCAGCACCTGGTCTGGTTAAACCTCATCAGATTCCCATGGGCCACTGCTCAACTTTGTCCAGGTCCCTTTGGATTGTCACTGCACCCTCAGTGTGTTGCCATCAGCAAAGCTGCTGAGGGTGCCCTCCATCCCTCTCTGCCATCAATGAAAATATAAACTAACACTGGTCCCAGTACAGACCCCTGAGGGACACCACTTGTAACTGGCATCCATTGGGATTCTGAGCCATTGACTGCTTCCCTCTGGATGCAACGACCCAAGTAATTCATTTTCCATCCAGCAATCCACCCAGAGAATCCACATCTCCCCAGTCTGGAGAGAAGGATGTTGTGTGGGACCATGTCAAAGGCTTTACAGCAATCCGCAAAAACAACACCTGTACTTTCCCCTTGTTCACTGATGGAGGTACTCCACTGGAAAAGGCCACAAGATTTGTCATTCCTGATTTGTCCTTAATTGTCTCAAATCACCTCCCTGTCCTCCTTGTGCCTTATCAGAGCTTCTAAGAGAATCTGTCCTATGACCTTCCCAAGTACAGAGGTGAGTTTGACAGTCAGTAATTCCCAGGGTCCTCCTTCCTACCCCTTTAAAAGACAGGTACAATGTTTCACTCTTTCCCATCACCTGGAATTTCACCTGATTGCCATGGCTTTCCAAGTATCATTTTAACAACAAAGAATAATCTTTGTGGTTATATATCAAAAAAGAGCAAGTATAGAAAACCCTATAAGGAAACCAACTGATTGCTGTACAGAAGTGTAACATTTCCTTATCCAAGGATAAAGAAAGGTATGCTCATGCATTATACATTAGTCTACTCACATTGCTTATGAAACAGACTGCAGTCCTGACCTTTGGGAAAGAATACACAGACAATTCCAAGGAAACAGACTTAAGTAGTGGTGTTTACAAAATGATGTAAAATAAGTTACCAATAGCACAAACACTAATAAGCATAAAATACATTTAAACAGACTTTCATGAAGGCCCCCACTTAAGGTAATTGCCATTTCTGATCATCCTTTATTGGATTGAATTCTCTGAGCTCAAATTTGTCCAAACATAATCATCCTAGTTTACAGAAAATTTCATTCTTATTCATTCAGCTTTCATGCTTCTAGTCATGATTATTTGATGGAAGACAACAGCTTGGTACAGAACAGCCAGCCAGAAATCAGATTCTGCTGCCAAGTATACAATGCCCAACACACATCAACACATCCCTTTTGGTCCAGAATTCTTTTTTTCCTGACTGCGTCCTTATTTTATTTTGAAACACTTCTAGCAAGGAAGCCTGCTCAGGAAGTTGCCTCAGCACAAAACAAACCACACAGTAAAACTGAGCCCTCTGAAGATCAGGTAGCCCAATCCCCTGCTCAAAGCACTTGTGATAGCTCAGGATCACAGCCAATTGAGAGACACCTCCAAGAGCAGTAGTTCCCAGGGTCCTCCTTCCTACCCCTTTTAAAGACAGGTACAATGTTTCACTCTTTCCTATCACCTGGAATTTCACCTGATTGCTATGGCTTTCCAAGTACCGTTTTAACAACAAAGAACAATCTTTGTGGTTATACATCAAATGGTCCCACAGCCTGTCTGCAGTCATCCTGCAGAGTTCCCCTACAACAAAAAGGGTCAAGGCTTAGAGTACAGTGATTTTAAAAGAACTCCTTTATAAATAAGACAGGCATATTTAACATAATAGTAAATAAGTCTCCTCAAAAGCCTGTACTTATCTACTCAGCCAGAACCTCACTAGCATTAGGTCTTTTAGAAAACACTGAAAAAACATGGGAGATCTGCATCAAAATGTAATATGCTGTCACCACAAACAGCACAGTTTAGTAGTCTAGAAAAGCTTACATTTCAAAGGAAGTACAGTATCAGGTCACCAAAATCAAGCTGTCAAACACAGGTCTCTGGTAAATTCAGACAGGTTTCCCCGAGGCATTTTCATGTTTGCTGTAGGTCAAACTCAAAAGAGCTCCCTCTCAAATGGTAGGAGTTTGTCCTACTGAATACAGTGTACTTACCTCCAAATGTGTCAGTATTGACACTGCCAAACCTTTCTTTTTGCTTGAAGGAAAAGACTTGTTTTTGTACAAGTATTTCTGCTTTATGAAGTTTCCTTTCTTTAAAGCTTAAATTATCACAGCATCTGAAAGTCTCTGTCAGATTGGGGCAGCACAAAGTACTGATATTACAAAGTGCTTTCTATTATCTTTCTGTATGTATGCTTTTACACTGAGATGAGAATAACTTGTCTCAAAAATATTTATACTTATATCCAGATACAAATGGGAGACAGGCAGTACATCCACACAGTATTTTACTTTTGCAATTTATGTACATTTACAGCAGCTTGGAACAGTTACCTCAGATTTAACATTGATCATTTTAAAAGCTACTCACACATGGCCTTCCTTGACAATAAAAACTGACAAAGGTTCAATTCTGAATTCCATGCCCTACCCAAATGGATGATCCTCAAGTTCATTAAAGCCCTGGACAGAAATAGGTCAAAATCCAAAAGGTAATTTCTACCCTGAAGGCTGTTTCTGCAGATCACAATAACCAACGTGTCTTGTATTGCAGCTCTCTCCACAATTTACAGTCCACAAAAATCAGATTTTCTACAGTATGAATAAAAGATAAAATCAAAATATTGAATAAAACATTTGGATTACCTCCCAGAAGCTATCACTAGAAACTTCTACTCCAACGGAATCATCATATGAGCCAGACATTGCTATGTATGAAGAGCTTGTAAGTATTCAGAGCTTAAACACCTTCAGAATCTGTAAAAACAGAAAAAAACCCACATTTATGAGCATTATTAATGAAGTGGAGTTATGAACTTATGAAAAAAAAATTATGTTAAGCAACTTCATTCAATATTTTGCTATCTAGAGATGCCAGAGGGCATTTTGGAACAGAAAACTTCTACCACACAGTTTGTGGCTCTTGTCATGACATAGGTTGTCCAGAAAACACTCAATGCATCTGATCATATCACATTTCACTAGACTCTTGAGTTTATTTAATGGTAAAGTTTCCTATCACAACCAAAAGAAAAGATTGAGCAGCAAGATGCTTACTCATTAACTATTCCACTTTCAAAGCATTCCTAAGAGACAAGCAGCTGACCTTTGCTTTTGCAACAATAACCTGCACTGATTCCTATTCCTTTTCCACTGGAAATCTGTGTTATGCAATGAAACCCACTGGAAATATTGAAGGCCAAAATTTGTTGATTTAAAGAAAAATAAATGTCTTCTTGTCATTGTTCTATTTCAGCAAAACAAACAAACAGAAAACCCATCAGATCTGAATTCTGAGTTTTATTAGAAATAAGTAATTAACAACTCAGGCATTTTCACTTTTATAGACAAAGCTGGAAGGAAGAAAAATATAATCTCTCCTCATCAAAGCAGGTAACTTTATGAATCACTGGTATGAAAAAGGTTATGGTTACCCTAAGCTAACATGCAAGATTAACATCAAAAACATTACTGAGACAAAAATCCAGGCACTTGCATCCATAAATGTAGCTTGTGGGCTGGAGACCAAGAGGTAGGAGAGAAAGGAAACAGCTGCCTCCCAAAACACACACACACACAAATCCCTGTCCAATCTCTGCAGATACTTCACCAAGTTCTCCTGTTTGGATTTCTCCTGCCAAGTTTATCTCTAACTACTACCAAGGATACATACAGGTAAACAGATTTTACCACCCCTTGTGGGATGAATACTTTTACAGTAGACTGTAAGTTGAAGCTCCCTTTCATTTTTTTGCCTTGTCAATTCTGCTTCCCTTAAAGTACCATGGCCCCTTCAAAACAGGGCAGAAAACATCTCCAAACCTGACCTTGCTGCCCAGTGGTTATGACAAACTGCTGAGAGACATGGCATTGAAAGCCTCCCAGGCAAGCAGAATTCAACACTAAATTAGCATTTCTGGGATACACTGAAAATAGCAGTGCCATAAGGGTAGACACTTGTTCATAACAAAACCCAGCTACTGAAACAAAACAGTTCTTTGGGCAGTTGCAGCACAAACACAAAGTTACTCTGGCTGGGAGGACAAGATGTTTCTCCTTATCAGCTTCTCATCCAATTCATTTACGTAATGCAATTCACAAAAAGCTTACATAACCTTAACACTGAATATGAAACTAAAAATCACAACAGGAACATCAATTGTTAGAATTTTATTTTTAAAAGACAGCCAAAATATAAGAAGGGTTCTGCAAAATGGCAAATTAGAAAGGAAAATCACATAGAGGTAAATTATTTTTACATGTTAGTGTAACAACCTTCATATTATAAGTAATTTAAAAAAACCCTCAGCTTTTCCACCTGTGCTTTTACTGAGCCAAGAGGGAAAAATTAAACATTATTCAACTGTCAGTTTCTGTAGCAGCATCTTTACACGGAATGTGTTCTTTCCAGATAAATTTTGTCCCTTGCAATTTTTACAATACATTAAGGTAAGCAAAGATCATATTTTAAGTATTTGCATTTTTTCATGTCCTTTTTTAGACAGCTGTAAGCAGCATAAGGAGGAAACCAAAGTGCAGTAAGCTTGCAACTAACTGGACCAATTCATAAGACTAGTTTAAAATTAAACAGCCAAGCATGCCATGCAGAACAAGGGAGGAATGAGGTTCCAAAGGTTGTCAGGAAGGGTTAGGGCAGATTTTCTCCACTACACCAACATCTTTCCACTGCAGTGCTCACTGCCATTTGGAAGAGATCTGGCAGACAGTTGTAGAGTTCAGCATCTTGGAAAAAGAAATCCTGAAGTATAAACTTAAAGGAAAGTTTCAGCCTATCCTATCCAGTCATCCATCCCACTCTCCCAAACCATACTAGCAGTATTTTCCCCCTCCAATTACAGATAAAAAAAGACAATGAAAGTGCTGAAGTAATAATAAAGTGTCCACTTACCTTTAACAAAATAGCTTAAACTATACCATTCCTGCAAATTTACTCTGCTAAGTTACATGGAAAGACTGAAAAAGCTCAAACACAGGAACATTTTCTTAAATGAATAAACAGGTTGTGGTGACTGGGTTTTTTAAAAAAAACCCTTTCATTCCTCCTCAACTAGAACTACATAGTACATGGAGTTATCCTTTTTTTCCATAGAAGCATGAAAACGATCAGCACTCAGAAAACACTGATGGAATTAAGGTTTGAATACGCCAAATACTATGCTGTGAGAAAGTATGAGCAAGCGTATTTAGGGAAATATTGTGAAGTCATAGCAACAACTGGTACAGAAAAACACTATTTTTACAGCCCTACTTAAAAATAAACTGTATACTGAGATAGGAACATTAAGTGGTATGAGTCATGCTACCCTCACAAAACAGAATTATTACAGAAGCCAGGCCTTTAGCACATTTTTTGTCAGGGTTTGGTCCTCCCATCCTCCAAGTGAATTTCCAGAGGTTTCACAAGTAAAGTTCATTGCACTTTCTTTTTTTTTTTTTTTTGCAAAGTCTTCCATTTCACTATAAAAGTAAACTTACAAACAACTCCAGCCGTCAGGTAAAATCTAGAACATTTAGATGGGTACAACAAGAAAAATGAGCTCTGCACAGATTTTCCACAAGTGATCACCTGCATCCCACAAAGCTGGATTGCAGCAGAACCAATAACTCCATAGGAAAGCACAGAGCCCACATCCACTTCCTATATTCTCACAACAGTTTGGCTTCATCCACTCTTTTTCTTCTCATTCCACAACTCCAGATCCATCTCTTTAGTGCCTGTCCCCCAACTGCTAAGCACACAGCAGCACAGTACTGCAGTCACCAAAAAAAGCAGCCCAGAGAAAACCTTACCAGTTCAGAGCCCTTGCTGCCTTTTATCACAAGCACACTTTAGCCACGAGAGCTTATATAGGCTAAAAATAAACCACAGAGAACTGCAGAAAGTAACTCCATCCTAAACAGCACATACTGTAATAGCTACGGAAATGATGCAAACACACAAGGCTCCAGGTTCTTGGCCCTGGCTTTTAAGCAATTCTTGTAAATTAGGATACATTGATCTTTGACACAAGGAAATGGACCATAATAAATAAATGTGGCTTTTTTTTTTTTTTTTAAAGCTTCCTCTTAAGGAACATTCTAGCCATGCTTTATTCTAAAGACCTTGAATTTCTTCCTCACTGCTCCTGCCCCACTGTGTGAAAAGAAGTGCTATAAACATCCTGAGGGCTTAACACAAGGATTTTAGAAAATATTAACTAATAGTGAGCAAGCAGACCTTCAGACCAGCTGAACACAAGATGCTGCCTCTGCTCTCAAGAAGTTGGCTTTGATATTACTTTGAAAGCAATCTGCAAAATTCCTTGCTTTGTTCATGTTGAAACACTTGGTTTTTTTCCTGTGCAGACTATTAAGGAGCTGAAATAATCCAGTGAATCCCAAAATTTCTCTTAAGGGATTTTTCAACATGAAGATGGGGAAAAGCTTTTAAAGAAATCCTTGAGTTAAACCCCCTTCGGCTTTTAATAGCAAATAACTTTGATGAACTCTTACTGTGAAAAAGGTAGGGTTGTTTAAAGTGAGATTTTAACATTCTGATTTCTTTTGGAAGATTATGTTCATTTTGAAGATATATTTCACTATACTCAAAAAGATGGCATTAAAAAAAAAATCTAATTACATTCCCACATACAATGGGCTGCTTTAAAGCAGGGCAATTACTAAATTGTGGCCCTAGGTGACAAAGTGATCCACAACAGAGAAAACACCTCAGAATCACAGAGTAACAGAACCTTCCAAGCATGATCAGCTCAGGTTATTCAGGGCTTTTACACAGACGGATCTTGAAAACTGCCAGGGATGGAGATGGCACAACCATTCCACTCATTAACGATCCTCAAGGTGAGATACAGAAGAAAAAAATTAATCCATATTTAGAAAACCAAATGGTGTTGCCATGCATTGTCTCCAAGGACTCCAAGATGCAAGATGAGACAGAGACAGTCTATCAGCCTCTGGAAGAGAGAAGCACCTGGTCACATTACCTTTTAAACTTATTTTTGGAATGACACCATTTGTCACCATGGATCTGACTCGTCAAGATTCCAAGTTTCATGACTAAGACGAGTGAATTACTGATGTATAGACATGACTCAACCTCAATTAGCTGTTCCTAAGAATTTTCAGCTATAATTTTTTTCCTTATTATCCACTGAAGTCTCAGGTTTTGTTCCACACAGAATAGGAAGGAAACAAGACTTCCTTGTATAGAAATAAATACAATCTATGCTTTAAGTGTGAACTACTGCGGTTTGCTACCAAGTCTACCTGCCATGAATATGCTCAATCTCATATTCTCTGGTTAAATAAAGTAATTTAGACATGACTTTCTTTTCTATTTTGTCCAAAGAACTTTGTCTATAAGAGTTTCCAGTTTCTTCAGGCTTGCAATCTGTTTACTGTTGACATAGAAAAAAGTGACATAACTTCTTTAGCAATATTGTGAAATCATGTAACAAAAGCTGTTAAGAATCACAGCTACTGACACTGCAAAGTCCACAAATTAATATGAAAGTAAATACAGGAAAAAAGAATGCTTTGGTTTACACATTCAAGTGACATCAAAGAATTCCAAACCCTGAGTGCAGGGAAGAAATGCATCAAGCCATAATTAATGACTGCTATTCAATGCTGTGAGGTCTTCTAATTGCAATCAGTGGACATGACTGCATTTTATTAACAGAAGTTAGGCCTTAGATTTTTAAAGGTAGAGTCTCAAAGTGATGACTTGGACCTAGTTCTTCAATCTCTAAAATAGGGAGAATAGCACCCTCCTCCACAGGGATTTAAGATAATCCCTTAGTCTCCATCAAGAAAACAACTAGAGCAACAAACACCAGAGAAAAGTCCGTAAAAGGAAATTGAATTGCTATTTCTTGGGGAATTCAGCCTCTATGTTATAGTTGGCAGAGCCATGCACCAAATGATTTTTGGAAAGAAGTTGACAGCAACCTATTTGGTGAACCGTGAGCACTGAAGGAAGGAATCTAGGAAATGCATGCTGTTACAGACTCTGAAAGCTCATTTCCTACCAGGCACACTCCTCTGAGACGGAGAGCAATGTTTATTCCCAAATTTTCTAGTATGGATAACCGAATAGTTTGCTACCTAGACATTTTTCAGTTAGCAAATAACATAAAATGACATTAAATAACAAAAAGCTATCAGTTCACAGTAGTCATTCATAATAACCCTGGGTAACAAGAGACTCTTTGCACTTCTGTCAGTTAAGGAAACCCTCCGAGTTCAAGGTTGCTTGGTCCACAACAACCTCCTTGGTACTGGATCATATTTGCCCATGCCCACATTTGTTAAATGCTGAATGTGAAACCACTGAAAGCAGCACTCATTCACTGCCCTAAATATACAAGCCACGAACACACATTCAAGCCATAGCTTCAGCATACATCAGAAGACCAATAAAGAGATTAAACTTCTATGATAATTACCACATGTGAAAAATCCCACACAACTCCAGTGAGGAGACAGTCTCTAAAATTAAACTCTTCGGGCACATTAACACTGTGTGATACAATCTTACAGTGGATACACTTCACAAATGCATAATAAAAGGAATAAGAATAGCTCTTTTGGCCATTACTGATTTTTTTTATTAAATAAATGAAACTTAAAATTACTGATCAAACAATCTGAATAACACACAGCACAGAAGTATACCTGAAACATAAGGCAACCCAATATTCTCAAAAAGACTCTTAGCCTGCCCATTTTGTTTTATCCATGTAAAATAGTACCTTGCTCTCACACTCCAAAGAAGACTGGCAGAGCCCTGGAGTTAGCAGCTCTTATCTCCTGTCCTCCTTCCCCATAATTAATGGCCAGACATGCTGGTTAGACATGTTGCTGTTACACAGGCTCATTTTTTGCACATTCATGACCTAACCATCCCTACCAGCTCCCACACGCTGCCAGCACAGCCTCCCTCTGCATTTTTCCAACTAACCAGGAGATACCTGAAATAGCAACACTGACTTTGGGGCAAAATTATTGTTTATTCTCAGCTTGACAAGCTAATGCATGTAGGTGGATTATTTAAATTGTGCAAGTTTTGTTCTAACCAGGGAAGCTGTTAATCGCCTTCAGAGCCTTTGCAGAGGTTTCTATTTAAATAGACACTGACCACAAAAATCATTAACACTGCAAAATAATGCTTTAAATGGCAGAGATATACCAGCCAAGATGCAAAGTTGATGAAGTGATGTGAGGAATTTTAAACTATTTCCATCTATTTAAAACAAACCTTAATGTTTTCAGACTATACTTTTCCTTAATCTGAAGGTATGAGGGAAAAATCCACATTCATGTTTTCTACACTGCAAGGAAAAATGTGCATAAAATTTGGCTTTGAGTAAATTTTGCCAGAAAACCATCTGAGAACTCAGCATTATTTGTCCATTAAAATAACATTAAAAATAGTCTTCAATTTTTCAAATCAGAGGTTTTCTACTGTTTAGGATCTAGTCATTAAAATGATAAAATGCAGGAAGAACTTTAATTTAATTACAAGTGTTTACCCTTTCTGAATGTTCACTTTTGTAATTCCTGTGACATCACACACTAATTCATATGTCCTGTCAAAGTCTCACAAAATGAAATTAACCATAATATCCTTCCTAAATAAATAAAATTGAGATAAATATGCTTTTAGGTTTAGGTTCAAAAAAAGCATGAAGGGGGCAAAAGACCACATATTTTCAACTTGTAAATTACAATATGTAAGCATTTAGTTAGCAAGAAATCTTTTAAGTGTCCAGATACTTTAAAAATAAATAATTGACCCTTTACCTAGTGGAATTAGATGGCTTGTTACATACACTCATTATGAAAACTTATTTTCGTAAAAATTCAAGGGAAATATCTAAAGCATATCCACTTAATATTTAGTTTAGTAGAATTTTACAACAGTGCAAAAACAAGGACAGTGCAGAGGAGTGATATTGATGGATTCTCCAGGAGAGAAACCATGAAACAGCCTTTAGAGCTGCATTGACAAAACAGTTGTAGAGAGAAGTGACATGTATACAACTGCTCTAAAATGGCATACAAATGGCATATAAGAAGCAAAACAGAACATTATAAGAAGCCCTGCCTCAGACATCAAAACTAACTAATGTGATCACCCAGCTAAACACTGCTGTACTTCAAAACAGAAACCCCACAAAAGGACACCAATAAAAAGCAATACAAAAACCATTCCAGAAACAGATGTGTGTTGTGGACAGCAGGCAGTATGAGCCCAGAACCATCAGCCCAAACATGATAAAACACCCTCCCTTACATTCAATCAAACATTGCAAAATATCACACTCAGCCACAAATATTTTTGTACCAGCTGTGACACAGTAGACTACATTTTGGTAGGAAAAAGCAACTATGACAGTTGTTTGGAAAGTCATTCCACATTCTGTTTATGAGCTATTAACCTGAAAAGGTGTGTCTTAACTCACTTGTATTTGTTCCAGCTAAGGAGCTGGGCAGCATAACTGCACAGATAATCACAGCACCTGCACAGCACTGCCTGACCTCCATTTCCACAAACACAATTCTCTCATCAGCGTGTACTTTAGCACTTCCTGTGGGCTGATGAAAACCTTGTAGCTCGAGATAATGTCTTTTTTTCCCCCCCTCCACTGCAGCACTCAACACAGGGCTTTCAGTCATAATATGATTCTGTATAACTGCAAAGATGAATATTTGGTGTACTATAACCTTTAGGAAAAACCATGGGTAGCCCATTATAAAGGAAGGTCTTTTTAATCACACAACTGGCTTCAGTGGAGGAAAGTGCTTTGAAACATTTCAGTGAAACACGTAGGCACCCTTTGCAGATGCGTCACTTAGGAAACAGATGTGTTGTTTCAGTGTTTCATAGTCAAAAGCTGTACTTTTCCATCTCAGGAAATACAGGGCTGTAATATTAATTAATGAAATACTGACGTGCATTGAATAGAAATAGATTTAAACCCTTAAATGAAGGTGAAACAGGGCAGCCTTCCTGAACCTGAAGGTTGCACTGAGGATCTACTGTTATTTACTTCAGGAGAGAACCAATTTAGATACCTCACTTGAACCAGCTTCAGCCTGGTCTTTAACAGACTTGTTTCCAAAGCCTAAATCACTGTTGGAAACTAAATCTATGTATTAACAACATGTCAGAATACCCCATCTTCTGCTTATCTTAGACAGATACAGATGACTATGCTTGGCAAAATTAGGAAGACTGACTGGGGCAGTGGAAGCTGCATGGTTGAGCCCAGGAAAATCTATGCACTCTTGCACTAGTGAATTTCTCTGTCACTTTTTAGAGTTATAAATAAAAATAAAAGCAGAAGTGATGATTTCCTTACCGTGGATAAGGTACAAAGAATAACAGACCTTCCTATAGAGCCTCGGAAGGACACTGCTGAAAGTAAAAGAGAAGACCTCCAGACACAGTAAAATAACAGACTACAATGTGCTTGTATTATACTTGATATTAACAGCACAGAGACATCAGATTTCCACACAAAACTCCTTAGAGCTGAATGGATTGCTCTCTAGTAAGCAAACACAGCAATTTTCTAGGTCAGATCCTCAACACAAGTAGCCTATAAAACCAGAAATTATTTGCTAGTATAGCTTTTGCTCAAAGCTAGCAAAGAGCTGTACCCCAGGACTTGTACCCTAAAGCAGAAATTAAATGACCACTTCCATAATTGCTGGCTTAGATCAAAGCTGTGAAAAGGCTCTAAACAGTAGTTTCCATAATTACCAATTCTTTCTGCAGGCATTATCTCCTCACTGCCATAGCCCTGCTGACAAAAAGCAGGTCAAATCATCATGCAACATTCCCCAACTATCAAAATACATTAAAGGGTAGTTCAGTATTTGGGGAAAACATTATCAATGTAAAAAATGCTAAGGAAAATAGCCTTACAACTTAAAAGCAACATTTTCAGCTGTGACAGTCATCAGATTATGCACCATTTCATCAGTTTCATATCTGGAACTGACACAAAACGTACAGACCTCTGCAGAATACAATTCATAAATGCAGAAAGAAAACAACCACAGGCACATTTAACTTCAACTATCCTTCTTTACAGTAAGTTAAATAAGTAATTACTCATTTAGGAACAATAAAAGATCTGTTCAAGTGTTTCAAAATCAATGCTATTCTGTAACACTGTACAAAAGAGCATGTGACTGTATTTCATATTTAAGTAAATAAGATTAATTCAGATTTTAAAACAAACTGAATGCAGCTTTTAAAGAACTATTAGGAGAATTTAAATTGCTTGCTTGTGTTAAAGTTGGAGAGAAGGTGACTCCATACTTAGCTTCATTAAGATGGTCACTGAAAAAAGAAATTCTTGAATTCTATTTAAACGATTTCAGATCAGTGAATCTGAGGTAAACTTTAGCCAGGACTTCTCATGTTTCTAGGAAATTAAATTTTCTGGTCCTGAAATGGTAATTACTGCAATAAGGTCAGAAGACCTCTACTTACAACTTAGTAATCTATATAACACGAGCTGCTGACTTAGCAGAATTAAACATTCCCTAAAAACATGCAATTTTTTTTTTTTTTGTAATAAATATAATGAATTGGCTCGTTACCATGTACTAAACTCATTGGTCTAAGCTACCTGGAAGTATTATACTTAAATATTAGGATCAGAGATCATATTTTATGGCCTTCCCTGTACACATAATTTGACAAACAAAGACAGAAGTGTGTGTGGGGTTGTTGGGTTGTCTGGGGGTTTTTTAAACACACAGAGTACAGTTACATCAACTTTAACCCTAATGCAACTGAAAAATCAAGAGTTTGCAGTGTGCAAAACAAGGTTTTACTTTAAATGAGGCATATGAGATCCAGGCTAGGCAAGAGAGAAGGTGAAAGTTTTTCTTTGGTTTGCAAAGGTTTCACTAATCTTATTAAGGGTTTAGAAAAGAAAGCACAGCAGAGCAGCCAGTCTTCCCCACGATTTTCAGTGATCTGGATACATGTTATGTGACCTCATACAGCTCTCAAACACACAAATCACTCAAATGTCGAATCCCTAAACATAAAAATGGGAAATGAATGCTTAAATTTGCCCAACTAATCTCAAAATTAGTAATCTTTTCTACCCTGCTGCCGCTTTTCAGGAAAAGGAAAAATTTTATGCCATTTTAAATTAATGCTTGACCAAAGTACAAGTAGGTCAGTCATCTACTCTGCAACCTAAATTGGACTGAAGTTCAAGGAAAAGTGGGACAAGAGGCCCCATGAGCTGACAGTTCTTGCACTCACCATCACCACTGTGTTTTTGCAGTTAACAAAGCTGTGCCATCACTGACTGTGGAGCACTGAAACAGCAGCATGTAACCTTCATATGGGCAACAATCAGAAGATAGAAAAAAGAAAGGTAGATAACCCCAACCAAGTTGAATTTAATGCTCCCTCAAGGCAGAGTCTAAAAAATCCTGATGTTGAAAAACCAGACAAGACTAATATCAAGTAAGACCAAAGTTGATCATATTATTGAAATAGTCTTAGTAGAAGCAGGAATTACACAACTGCCTTTTCTGTCATATATGCTGCTAACTTCAGCATTTTAAATTGTTACACAAGGATTCTCAATCAATTGCTACTAAAGGTACAATAACACACCTTTTTTCTTTTTGAATTTAACTCATGTCAGTAACCCCTACACTCACAAAATAGCAGTATGATAGTTGTAACAGCTGAGAAAACAGGCAAAAATAGCTTCAGAATACAGTGATCAAATTTCTTAAGCTATTTAGTTTATTACAAATCATTCTACACACGATCATCAAACTGCTTAATGTTGAGACTCCAGAAAGTCTGGAGTCATTATATTCAAATGCAACATCATCTTTTAAGCGAAAATAGAATTTAGTTGGTATTTTTGCATGATGCATAATAACACGAAGTAATCTCAATGGGACAAAGTCAGTATCAAGTAATAAAATCATTCTGGAATTACCACATCCAACCTGCACACCCTCAAAAGGAACAGCTTGAGCTGGATTTCTAACATGGACTTTGTGCATGAATCATATATATAATGGTCTATATGCACACAAACATATAAACCCATATATAAACTAGAGTATTAGCCCAGAGCTATGTTTAACACACTGAGATTTTCAGCCATTTTATAAATGGCAATACCAGGGTCCACCTCCAAGGGATTTTACTACTTAGCAAGTGATCTCGTGCTTCTAAGTTCAGCTTGAATGTGTCACTAGATTCCATCCCACAAACCTTGGGAGACAAATGTGTCTGAGCTGACAGCTGGGATATCCCCCACTCCAGTCCAAGGCCAGGGTGGGGTGACAATGAACACAGACACAAGTGCACCATGACACTGCAGGCAGGGCTCTGTGTCCCTGCTCACAACAATATCCCAGCCAGTGCTCTACAATAGTTTGTGCTTACTGAAATGAGTCACCTGTCTACATATGACTGCCATTATAAAGCCATATTTCCATATGGATCGTCAGTTAAGAGGCTGAGCAGCAAAGGAATAAAAAAAAAGGATTACATGGTTCAACAGCTGAAACAGCTGCAAGATGAAAGCTTCAATAATATAGAAATACCTTCCAAGTTTAATTGAAAACAAGATTTCTATTTCCCCAAGAATAAGAAAACCAAATTATTTGCTTACTCAATGAATAATAGATTTCATATTAAACGATCGTTATCATATGGTAGAATAAAATAAATGTATAAGACTTTGAAATACTGCAGAAAAAAATTTAGACGACGAAGAAAACGTGTCAGAAATTGCATCTAGAAAGATACTATTTAAAATATTTTACAAGCAACACATGATACTTTTCATAATCACACCCTTTAGCGTCACAATTCTAGTCAAGGGCATTTCAGCTGAGAACACGTGTGAAACTTAAGTACAGACATTTGTCACTTCTGGTTCTGGAGGCTTAAAGCCTTAATACAAACATTATGAGAAAAAATAGGCCCACCTCTAGAAAATTTCCTAAACCCACATAGCTAATGCTACCTCAAGTAACAAACAGTACCTTTGGTCATTTCAAGCTTTCTGGAGAAGTGAGAAGTTTCTCTAATCCATGAAGAGAATCCCTCCAGTAACTGCAGCCATGAGCTCATTAACACTTGTTCCTAATAAAGCAGCTCAACAGCTGAAGAGTCAGGGTCACAAGGACCCTTCACACACACAATCATGGCTCAGACCACAGCTGCTTCAAAGTTGTTTTGTCCTTACTCCTAAAGCTTAAGGGTACAGAGCACATCAAAGAACAATTGTAAAAAATATTTTGAAAATATACTTTGGAGTATCTACTAAGGTTATCTCAGAACAGGCAATGTCATGTTTAAGACAGATGTGTAATTTAAAAAGAGAAGACTAAAAGCACAAAAGAGATGGTGAGTCTAGATATAAGGGTTTTTCTGTCATTAAGTATTATTAACCTGTGGTACAATATCTGAAGGGTACACACACAAATACTCCTGTAGTGATTTCTTTCTTTCCTTTTGTGTTTAACTTTAAATTCATTTTATACTGAAAAAATCTGTGCAATTGTCCATACTTGAAAGATAAAAGAGCTGCTTCACAGAGGCAAAATATCTAGTTGACGCATCAGCCATCCAAAATTAGAAAAACAGATAATATACTGAAAAAACAGCTATATTTT